TTATGAACCTCAGGAGCAATAATTTATTAGCAGTGCTGATATTTTAAATAAACTTGTGTGATTCTATGTTTGAATCCTGCAGTGGGCTGGAAATGTAAAAGCCAAACCCGAGGCCTTGGAAGCGGTTTTCGGTGTCGGGAGCCTCCGCGACCTTTTAATTCACTGGGAATTTTTATTTACGTCGCCTGGATGTTTCTCACGGAGCATGGCTGAGCAGGGAGGCTTTTATTACTGTACACATTTAAGTATCTGCTGGCATTTCGGGGCTGTTCCTCCAGCACAGTACCTCACGTGTTAAAGAACAAACCCACCGTAAACTGCAGAGCAGTCAGTAAAAAGATGCCACAGAAAAAGTGTCCCTGGGAAATTAGATTGACCCAAAGAAAAGCAAATAAAAGAAAGGAAAAGGCCCATATTTTCTTTGCGGTGTTGCTGAAAAGGATGGGAGTATCATTTTCATAGTGGAATAATGTTTTCTGGGAAAACACAAAAGCAGATGTTCCTCATTAGGAACACCCATTGTCTACATATCACAACTATGAACAGATAAATCTCTCCTATTTCACCCATACATTCCAAGGGCTGTAAATGATTACAGGATGCCGCTGTAACTGCTAAACCAAAACCACACTCTGGGCTAGAACCATTCCTCCGTGCCACCAGCAGATATTTCATTGGGGAGGGATGGAAATTCCTGCTCGGAGCCAGACCCTGGACTTGTCTCTGTCTCTCCGGGGGTGTCCCCGGGGCTGGGGGTGGCTCTGGGTGCCGGTGGCCGGGCTGGGAGCGCTGGCAGAGCGTGGCCAGCGCCTGCTGGGCAGAGGGTTTCCAGATGGCACCATCACAGCCCTACTGCTCGCTGGCATCTCCGTGGGCAGTAAATACCCCCCTCCCCAATAAATCTGGCATTATTCTATAGAGTTTGGGAGACTTATCATTCCAAGTGTGTCCTACTTTCCTGTATGGAAGCCAGACATCTGCTTATCCCATTTCTTTCATACGGAGTTTGGAATAGCTGTAGTTTGGGGGAATAAAAAGTTTTGTCATATTTAACAGCTGTTACAAAATTTCAATCCCGTAGGCTCTTAAAATACCTTTTGCCTGACCTCAGATTTGGGAGGATAATTGACATTGCTGGTAGCCACCCCCCTTAACCTTTCCCTGGCTGCAATTTCAGATTATTTTCCCTAAACCACTTGGCTGTTGGCACTGGTATTATTATTATTATTATTATTAATAATAATAATTTATTTGTTTGTTTATTTATTTATTTATTTATTTATTGCTGCCGGCTCGACGGTGCACCTCTTTAATTCCTCCCTACTCCAAGTTTACACCTTCAGCAGGGTGGCGGCGGCGGCTGGAGGGCGAGGAGGGTTTTTTGTGGTTTTTTTTTTTTTTTTTTCGTCAGCAGCGTTTCCTTTCACTTCCCGTCACAAAGGTGAGAGCCGCTGACCTTTGCTGGCAGTCCCGGCCGCTGAATTATTCATGTGATTGACTTTTTGTCAGTGCACACAGTTGTGCTCTGGGACATTTTATTCATTTACCTCATTTAAAGCGCCTTTCTGCACCTGTTCAAGTATTAATATCATGTAATTTGGGCCTAATGCCGATTTTGCTGAACACTCATTATATTTTTTATTAGCTATATTTCCAAACGATTATGTATGATTATTACCAAGCCTTACAAACAGCAATGGGTTATTCCCTAGACCTTTACATCTTCTTGTCAGGTTGTTTTCAGAAGCAAGGAGGATAAACATTTGACCAGTCCCAATGTTTTTATTCCTACTCCATATCCAACCAGAGAACTTAAAGCTTTTTCCCTTATGGCTTTGCGAAAGCATGATTAAATCCAACTCTGCAGAAGCTGTACAAATGCCAGCATTTATAAGGTCAACGCTTTTGTTAAAAATGCTATGTAAATGAGGATCTGCAAAAAGGGACATTAAATAAAATTAAATTCATTGTCTTCTTTAATGTCATTTACATTTTGGCTAAGCCCTGGCCTGTCAAGGAGGATTTTTTAAATAATTTTAATTACACATCATTTAGGGATCCAAGGTTTTCTATTCAGTAGCATTTGGATAACCTGCAAAATGGTGACTGTTTATTAACTTCTTAAATGACAACTTGTCATTTCATCTGCATAATGCAATGAAAACAGAGCAGTTTGGTGTCTTTTTTATTTATTTATTTTTTTTAAATTCTTATTTTCCTTTAAGATGTGCACCAAACTGCTGGAAGAACAGACCTTAAAATAGCTCAGCTGCTCTTTTGCTTTCAGCATCCTATTGGCGCTACCAAGTTCAGAGTATATTAAAAAATTACGACTTTCCCGGGTAACCAGTTCTGGAAAAAATCGCCATCAGGAACCCGACATTGATTTTTTTTTTTTTTTCCCCTCCTTAAGAAGGTGGTTTATTGTAGATTAATGGGTTTAGCTGCGAGGGATGTGTTTGCAGCCAGGGGTAGCTGGATTGGGGTTTGAGGCGTGCAGGTACGAGCACCTCTCACCTGTTCAAACGAGGACACGGCACACGCAGGGGCTCCAAATCCACCTAAAAACAGAGCAAAAAAAAAGGCAAATCAAAGTCATCTCTGTAACTCAGCCCCTCCGAGCTCCCCCACACCCCAGAACCAGGACTTTGGACTTGCTTCCTTCTCCCTTTCGCTTTCTTTCCCTCGGGTCATCTGAGTGACAGCATTTACATCGCTCCCTCGTCATCCCCGCTCCTAACCCGCAGCCCAGGAAATTGTGGGAATACCTGGGATGCTGGGATGCGCTGGGGGACGGCTCCCAGAGCATTGTTCCCCAGGAAATCCCAAACGAGCTGGGTGAGACTCCTGCACCGCTTCCCCCTCCCCGTCTAATACTTGATTATTTGAAGCCCAAAGCATTGCACGGCTCTAGGAGGAGGGAATAATAAAATCCCGTGCTTTTGTGAGAGAGGAAAAGGGGGGGGAAGGGATTTAAGCAAAGCTGTCAAAAACTATACTCCAGGAGGGACCCTGATACAAACCATCCCGGGCTTCTGCTGCTGCCTTATCAGGTGAAAAGCAAAGATACTGCCAGAGCCTGTAATTTTGTTAGGATGCCTTTGATGAATTGGATTAGGTTATGGAAAAATCTTTCAAACTCAGAGTTCTGGTACGTGAGCTTCCAGGAAGTAAATAATTACTCTCAGACAGCAGATAATTAAAAAAAACAACCTGTGAAACACAAAGTGGTAGAAATGGGTTTAATAAGGCTCCGCTGCTAACGCAGAGAGATTTCGGGGGGCCGGGGGTAGGAGCAGCCCCGGTGTTGGGTTACTCGCGGGGCTGAGCTGGGAGCGCTTTGCCGGGCTGGAGGAGGTGGAAATTCCAGGCTGGGAGGATGGAAATTGTCACCGGGGATGCCAGGGGGTGATTGACATGCGGGGCGAGGGGAAGGGGACGCGGGAGCTCAACCTGCGCTTGGCAGCCCCGGCGGAGCTCAGGAAAATGAGAGCCATTCACGCGGGTCCCGCTGCCAGCCCAGCTTGTTTATCTTAACAGCAAATCTCGCAAAAAAACCGTTGTGGCCAAACCTGTACAGCACAACCTTATACTGGCATTATTAATGCCCTGTTAAAATAAAGATGTAACTGAAAAAAAAAAAAAAAGGAAAAAAAAAAAAGCTGGAGCTGGGGAATTTTACAGGCTGAGGGGCACTCTGGGCTTTACGAGATGTGAGTTTGCTGTTAACTGTTTTGGTTCTTTAATGTTTTAAGCCGAGGAAAACTTGCTGGTTCCTCGGTGTATCAGCTCAGCTCTGACAGAACGTAGCTGGCTCCCTTCTAGGCTTTATTTTGCTATTGAACAAACTCTCCTTATTTCTGCAAGATGGAAAATATCCAGAGCGTAAACAGTGTTTGCTGGGGAGAAAGGGAAGGTGTTTGTTCCACGGGGTTTGGAGATTTCCAGGTGGTGGGGCTGGAGGCAAATGAAAATAAAAAACGCTAATAAATAATAATAGTAATAATAATAATGATGACGAATAAAAAATTCTGCCATACTTCGAGCAAAATAAAAGTTTCACAGGCAGCAAAATGCCACGGAGCCCACGGCGGCGTGGGGAGCAAAGCGCAGCATCGGCGGCGAGGACAGCGCCGTGTTTTCCCAATAATTCACTAGGAAATGAGTTTAACATGTGTGGAAAGGAAGGGGCTTACATTTGTGTTGTTGTAAGACATGCAGCATAGGCCCAGCTAGCGGAAGGAGTCGGCTCCAGCTTGTCTCTCGTGAAAGACGAAACACGGTTACACATCTGGTGAGAAAGAGCAGTTCATTTGCCCAGACAGCTCGCTCTGCAGCCGCTGAAAGGAGCTATTTTGACAGAAACAAAGCCATGGGGGCTGGGGCAAGCGATTAGCGGGATCCTGCTCGCTCAAAACTCCTTGGCCTTAATGATAAAGAAATAGAAGAGGAAATAAAGAAACCTGGCCTAAGCCTCCAGCAGTGTTTAAGGAGGCTTTGGGAAAGTAGCAATACAAACAAGGGCTTCCATGTCAAATTCCCGCTGCACTTGGGAAAAGTTTCTAAGGAAAAAGAAAAAAAGGTTGGGAGAATAGCAGGACAAAAAATTAACCTGGATGCTGAAGGAGTTGTTAAAAAGCAAAGGTCCAGCCTCACTTCTGGGATAAGCTCGTTTTCCTGAGACATGTGCAGGAGAAGAAGTTAATTTGACAGCATGGAGGGTGTGGTGCTCTCATTTCAAAGGTGAATTCACCACTGAAAACCTTCACCACACACTTGGTTTGCTCCCTGGCCCCGTGGCTCCACAGAACCTTCAGTTTTGTTATAAAGCAAACAACGAGCCCTATCAAAAACCCCCAATCTGCACAAAAAAAAAATCCCAATCCTCTCGTTGAAGTGAGGTTATTAATGCACAAAGGAGAGATGTGAGTGCCCTTTCTTTTGAATAACAAGCAATAAAATTGAATTGGTCTTGGTATTGTGTGGATTGTCAGGAATGC